GTTTAAAGTGACGAGAAACGTACTGATTGTGGAACTTCTGTGTACTGAAAGTTTGTATTGAGGAAGAATAAACTGGTTTAATCAAGAAAGGACTCGTATCGCTGAAGATCCTCCGAAGAATTTCTACCGGAAACAAACAAAGAAGCAGATACGTAACACAGTTATACACTTTATGTTGTACCAGATGTTATCTCCAAAGAAATTAAAAAGAACAAGGTTGGCTAGTATAAAATTAATTTACCAACTTTCTTTAGAAAGATTATGCAAAAACTGCATGTACCTGGAAAAAATGAAAATTTTTGAAATATTCTACACTGAAATAAGAAAACATGTGTTATTCCTGTATAAGACACTTCGCCAAAACTGATGCGGTACATGGGGGTGAAAATTATCCTGTCCTTTTATTTTATGATTTTCCTCAATTTAACATTAATCTTAATTTTAAAATCAATTCAATTTTCAAAAACGTAATGACCAAGGTTTATTATTACCTTCTCTCTTTCTGGTAAACACATACACCTAACAAAGACAACACAACTTTTTAATTAATTAATAAAATAAAGTAAAAACATCTGGTAATGAAATAATATATTTGCATCACATAATTAAACAAAAACTTTTTACCAAAAATACATTGTCCAAAATCACATTGTGCAAATATCCTTTAACAAAAAACACAAACACAAACTAAGAAAATCCTTAATAAGAAAAGAAAACTACACATGAAAACCATTTGAAATTATTTACATACATAAATTAATTAATAACAGAAAAATGTAAAAAACTTTAACAATGAAATTATGTGAAATCAAGCCCTTGAAAGATGATGCCACGAAAGGAAACAATACAAACTTAAACTCTTCAACAAAATTTAACATAATAGTCAAATAGAAACCCTATACATTGGTAATTATAAGATATATCAAATATAAACTCTCCAAATTGAAATCATAAATCATATGAACACACAAAAATAAAGACCCTCTTTTAACTACATCATCAAAAACAAAAACAAAACTCTTTAAAATAGGTTACTTGGCACAATACACACGTCAAAAGTAATAAAAAAATAAACTATACACACTGTTACAGTTTGTTTGTTTGCTAAACAAAGTTACACAACGGGCTATTTGTGCTGTGCCCACCATGAGTTTCAAAACCTGGTTTTTAGTGTTTAAGCCTCTTTAGAGGGGTCATTGTACAGAGTGTAGTATAAAACTTATACATAACACAACTTTCTATAAAAATAGTGTAAAACATAAATATGTATACAAGAACTAATTCCAAAAAATGTAAAAGCAATTCAGTCTATGTATATACAAATCACTACTTGAAAAATACAAACACATATACATATATACACTTAAATAATATATCAAAAATAATATACAAAATACATATACACTCGGCCATATCTCACCCTAGCCCCACCAGCATATCCTTGCATGTGGCAGTGGTCTTTCAATTAACAGTTATGCACTGAGCCTACTTGGTATCTACCAGCTTAGCCTGCAAGTGCCATATCTCCTTATTTTCCAGCCACAATGAATGTGTAGTTCTCTGCTGCATTTAGTTCTCCTCCTGGTTATAAAGGGTATAAATCTTAGTCTATTCAGTGACCAACTTTTGACGGTGTCACTTATACATGAGTATCTGCTCTAGTGTAGGCAAGTTGTGATGAGCTTTGGTGGATTAGTTGGGAACTCCATTCTTGACATTCTCTGGTGCTACTCTCAGGGAAAGTTCATAGATGGTTGCTTGACTATCGACAAGATAGAGGTCCCTCATATATCCACTGGTTGAATGGTGGTTATTCTGGTAGTAGACATCAATATTCCTTCATGATGATACATTTCTTCCATGGTGGTGGTAGTGTAGCCTGAGTTGATTGACTTGTCTGGACCACTATGGTAAGCACCATCACAGTGGTAACATCTGACTTCGTAGACAGAGCTTCAGAAGTAACAGACACCATCTACAGAGGACCCTTTTCAATATGACTCTCCCGGAGCTTAGTCGACCTTCGAGAGGACCACACTTTTGGAAAGTTTTTCAGTTTAGGTGTGTGATATTCCTACCAGAAATGCGGCCATTTCTGGTTCCAACAATCCACTCTCTAACCGGACACATCTGAGGCGGATCCCAGAGCTTCTTTGCA